GGAGTCTCCATCACCTCATTCACTGTTGACTATACGGAAAGCAGCATTACAGCGTGCTACTACAGATCTCGCCTGCCATAGTTCTTCGGCTGCAGCTCCAGCCACGAAATCCGGGGGCAAGTATCGTGCCCATTCACACCGCTACCTTCCACCAAAGATATACTGCCTATATCTCAAAACGGGTTGTGGCAGGAACGGGCAGGGCTGTTCATGTGCGGGCAAGGATTCTTGAACCACAACTCCAGAAAATGTCCGGACATGAACGTGTGTCGTCATCGAGCTGCCAAACTTCCAGAGCCCTCAAATCGGACTGAGCGAGTGATTAATTGACAAAGCCAAGCAATAGTAGAAGCGCAAACATGGTGCATATCTGAATTTGGCGATGAAACATGCAGATTAAAGAAGATAGGAGGGAACAAGAAAGGGGTTAAGGTCGGCAACTCAGCCACATGATGCTTTCCTTAAGGTTTCCTACCTACATGCATGTAGTCTACCCGTGGATGCTCCGTACAGGTACATAATTGCCTGGGGAATTATCTGAGCAGTTCTACGCCTGAAACTAACTCCTACGGCTTCTTAACGTAGTGGCGGTAACGTTAGAGAATGAAAGTTTCAGGTAGTAGAGGGTGTCGTAGTCAATGAAAATCAACTACAGTAAGGAATTTTTAGAAACATAGAGTACCTGGCCCGGCCTAACCATCAAATTTTTGAAATATGTACAATAGCCACCTGAAGCGCCGATGCACCGAATGCAGTGAAAGAAATCTCGCTTCAAACCCCTCGCAAAGGGAACAGGAAAGAAAAACAGAAGGATAGGGAGAAAGTCGCTCTAAATCCTCACGACTATCGTCGAGTGTGGTCGTAACTGGTGGGGAAGAGGGGCAGCGAAGGGTCCACAACATCGTTATATGGTCTTCTAGCCGCCATTGACACATCTTCGTCGCTGGGCGGAGCAGTGACGGCACGCGCAGGATGGGGGTGGCCTTCGGCATCCTCCTCGCCTCTTGCGATCTTCTCGAGGGACGACAACTCAGTCGTCGTTCCGGTGCGAGACCAGCGGAAAGAGTCACGGTCGTCGCCGAGAGGTTTGTATTTGGTGTCGGGCTTCTTGAAGAAAATGGCGTAAACCATACCAACCAAAAGATAGATCAGCAGCACGAGAGTGAATATCGCATTCAGGATGAAGAAGATCACTCCCAGGATTCCAGTCATGAGCTCCGGTTGGTCGAAAACGTCTGAGAAGACGAGCAGGAAGATCGTATTGAGGGAATTGATTACCGTCATCGTGATTGCAGCGACATTTGCCCCCTTGCTCATGAACGGCTTGATGATGGCCGTTGCGAGCATCATGGCAAGTTCCAAGATAAGGAGAACGATCGACTGTGCGACCGGTGAAGGCTGAGCGAAGGCGATAGCCATTCCTTTAACAATGGTGTAGACCAGAGCTGGGACAAGGAAGTAGTAGACTGGAGCGCGGTAGTAGATGTACAGGAAACCCCACTGGTTCAGAGTGGCAGGATCAGAATAGAGCGTGTACGCAGGTGTGTTGTGCTGCTGTTTTGATCGCATTGCGCGTTGGAACACCTTGAATGCGGCAAAGGCCAGAACGGCGGTCGTCACCAGCCACATGGTAATGGCCAGGACGATTTCGGCGGCTGAATCCCGATGAGTCAGTTCCCAGAGACAGAGGATACACATCTGGGGGTATCCGATGCATGCCAGCCGGAAGAAGGTACTGCGGAGAACGGTTTTCCAATCTGCAGTGACACTGACGGCGCGATCCAATTTTGGAAGCAATGTCTGCTTTTTGGCTAGGACAGCTCGGACGAGTAGGACCAGACCTACACAGGCGACGACTACTGCGGTGACGAAGTAATAGAATAGATATCCGGTCATAAAAATGTTGGTCAGCTCGATGGAATCACGAATTCCAACCCGTTCAATGCCGCGAAGAAGAATTTGACTTCCTTTCTCTGCATCCCTGCGATGGACTAGGGAGGAACGCTTCTGCAGGACAACAGATATAGAACTGGAGGATGTCATCACAGCCGAGGGTATACCCCCAGTTGCGCGTTGAAACCAGGTCGCAATTGTCTGCAGAGCGTCCGACTTTACAATTCCCAAACTCCATTGCATGTTCTGAGTCCATGATTGCACAAAGGGCGGCAGTTTCGCTGAGCTCATCCCAGCCATTGCCTGTGTTTGAATGAATCCGAGGAAGGCGAGCGATCGGAAAGCAAGATGAGTTGCCGTGTTCGAATGGCCGAGAAGCGATATGACCGTGGAGGTGATGAGACCGAGACCGGTTATGATGGCGAGTGTCCACGACACACCTGCCTGGTAGACTGATTTTCCATTGCGGACACGGGTCTCCAAGCAGGCGATTTGTTTACCTCCATTTTTGTATTTGAGCTTGAGGCGAATGACTGCATCGATGTCGGGGACGCTATAGGCGATCGCTATGACGTAACCGTTAGTAAGGCTACCCGTGGACATTTCCGGGTCACCGAAGCCCTGAAAGAATGAACGTACATGGTATTTGCGAGAGAACACTGTCACCCAATGTTTGAGTGATTGTGGGAATTTGCAGTTCGATGGCTTTCATAGGACAGAACACGGCCAAGTCAAGGCTGCACGGATCGAACGTCTTGTTGAACGCTTTGTATCCGTATACCAAGAGGTCGATGTCAATGGACACATCCCCGGCCACTTCAGAATATCCATCAAAGGCAATGCTTATGGACTTGTTTGATGGTGTGAATACCGCGTTAAAGTTGTTCACGGTCACTTCGGCACTGTCGGAACATTGTGTCAGCCCGGTGGCTTGGATGAGATTCTCTGCTTGTACAAGCTGAAGACTCTGGAGGATGAGGATGAAAGCTCCGAAAAGGGAGCCATTCAGTTGCATGGCGACAAGACGAGTGAGTGTCTAAAGAGAAGATGGGAGTTTCTTTTTCTTTTCCTCGATTTTCCTGATATCATCCAACTCCACAATACGACGTAAGCGCTCAAGTGGAGCCAAGAGATCGTCTAGGGTCGCGGTGAAACAACACTCTCAGGCAACCAGAATTCACAAAACAGCTGATTGGACTTGGCTTTATTATCTGTACGATATAGCCCATACAATGGAGTCGTGATCAACAATGGTGTTCCTTCGTGGCCTTGGTTATCCCAGCCTCTTGCCCCTCTACACTGCCCCAGCCTCCAAAGGTCTAGACGATCATGTCGATTCTTACTCCGTATGTTGTACCCCATAGTGAAAATCTCTTTCGGCTTACTCTCGCAATTTTCCAGGCACAAGGGGAACCAGCCAATGCAACATGAAAAACTCTCGGCCGCCACCGGTCAGCAGGCCCAAATCAGTTCCGCAAACAGCCATCTTTACCAACTCCTAAGCTCAACGTCTGAACTTCTATTCTTAGGCGGGCAAATACTCCGTAAGTTGACACGTCCCAAGGAAACACTTGGCTTTGAGTTTATACAACATAGCGTTGATCTATCGCGTTGATCTGGCCTTTCCGCGAGCTTCCTGATTATCAGCCGATCATTTCTCTTTTAGGAAGTTTCAAAGGATCTGATTTCCCCTAAATTTAGAATGGGGCGATTCGTTTTGAGCTCACGTCTCTCATTGGACAATGAAAGGCTGTTGTCAATGTTCAACCAATAGAAATGCTCTCACATCTGTAACTTAATCAACCTTGGAAGTTCACTGCCCCAACGGGAGAGATCATGATCTGGAGCTAACCCATCATTTTGGCAAGCTTATGGAGTAGGCAAGCTTGTTTACCAAGGTCACACAACAATGTAGTGCGAAATTCATTCGGGATGTTTTTGGTACGTATACTTGAGCCCCCGGAGTTCAATGATCTTGGGTTTCTCACACACATCGCTAGAATGAAAATATTTCAGCCATGCGACACGAGGAAAGGAGACTTATGCTTTGAATATATTCGCCTGATCAATCAGACTTACCAGCCGACATCCACTGCGATCCCTCACGTCTACTTGGATATGCAAAATGTGGCTTCCTGCTGCACACAACTTGGTGAAGCAAGACGGTCCACTTAAAGATACACAACAGATCGTCATATCCTCAAGTCCAAGTTATTCGTCATTGGCGACAGCTTCAAATAGTTATACACTGGAGGGATTGAGAATAACAAACTCCTATTGTGCCCGACATCCATCATTTGCCTTCGATAACGTGTGGTGTTGATCTATACCCGACAGGGCCATATCGTGGCATGACGTAGCCACCAGCACCCTGGAATGGAGAATGAACGGCGGCAAAGGATCAGCAAAGGGACGATCCGAGGAGGTATCTACGCCAAGTGATACGTAAACCGGTGTGCCGATGAATTTTACTTCGTTGCCCAACTCGCCACGCATGCTATTCATCAAATATGTCATCGGACAAGCGAACCAGGAATCACCAATCTATAAGATCAATATACATGCTGTCATCGCAATGGGTGTGTCCTTTGTCTATGATAAATCGCTCGCATCCTTTCTCCATCTTCTCGTCAAACCAAGACTCCACCTGAATAGTGTTTATTCCCACACGAACATGCAGTGAAATGGGTGTTTTCTCAACCAGAGCGAGTTGGTTTATCGCTGTCGTGGAGACGATGCAGGAGTTGCTTGTTGCTTCGTGGTGGTTTATACCCTACATTGCACCTGAGAATAGTTATAAAGTCGTTCTTTAAGAAACCAAGCGGTCGCGGGGAGGACTGAGACCTGCCCCGAGGCTCTGGTCTTTTTGCTTGCCCGGGCTGCCATCACTCAAAGATGAGCAAATAAATTAGGAACTTATGCATCGCTAATATGTACTCAAAACTGGGGTCAGCATACTGTATGTCTTTGTGCAAACTGAAAAATAAGTCCATTAAATGCACACAAATCTATGCAGCGTCTATACATCGTGATCATCTGTACAAGTCCTAACCGACTCTATATATCCCCATTTTGTAACTGTATCGCTCATTTTGTCTCTCCTCATTTTAAGGCGCAGCAATTGAGCCAGTGTCCTCCTCGTGGTACGAGTTCTCCTTGACCTCGTAGCGGAACTGCTCTTCCTCTTCCACGAGGGCGGCCTTGAGCACCTTGTTTGCTCTCCAGATGGGCTTGCAATCAAACAGGCGGTCGACCTTTTCAAGAGGGATACCGCTGGTCTCAGGGATAAGGAAGAAGGCGAAGAAGAATGCCAGGAATGACAGTGCAGCAAAGAAGAAGTACACGCCGTAGTGCATCTTGTCGAACATTTGTTCGGTGAAGCGAGAGATGAGGAAGTTAAAGAGCCAGTTGCTCGCAGTCGTGGCGGCCTGAGCCAGGGAACGGAAATTGGGGTCGAAGAATTCCTAATAACCTGTTAGGAAAAGGTTTAATCGATGATAATGAAAAATGACTTACGGAATTAATAACCCAAGGGGTACCATTCCAGGTAGGGGTGTAGACCGCAGTCCATAGATAAAAGAAGAATATGGCCGCAATGCCTCCGCCGTTCAGAGACGTGCTGGGGTTATCTTCGGGCTTGACAGCACAGATGTAAGCGCCGATTACCCACATACAGAGCGATCCAGTCACGGCACCAACAAGGAGCAGATTGCGTCTTCCAAATTGATCGACCAGGAACAGGAGCCACACGAAGGTCATGACGGCTTTAATGACGCCAAAGATACCGGTCATCAGGTTAACAGTGTTGGGGTCGACACCGATCTGAAAAACATAAGTTAGGATAATTAATTGATTGGTCATTAGAAATGCATCAGGTGAAACGCAATCATACCGATTTGAAAATGGTAGGCGAGTAATAGTTGATGGCATTGATACCGGAGCCGTTTTGCCAGAAGAAGAGCATGCAGCCCAGCATCAGACGGTACATGACACTCTTGTTAGTGGCAAGAGCCTGGAAGGGCTTCCAGAAGCCAATACCGATAGAACTCTTCTGATGCTCAAGAGCTTGATCGATCGCAGCGACCTCTTCGGTGATATAAATGTCATCAGCGTCCAATTGGCGGATCCAGCAAAGATTTTGCATCGCTTGGTGACGACGGTCCTTGAGGAACAGCCAACGAGGGGATTCTTTGATCCACAACGCACCTATGAAGAGTAGACCGGACGGGACGAGCTGGATGGCGAAGGGGATGATCCACTGCTCGTGGCTTTGAGGCATGTGTTGCTCAACACCATACTACCGTATCTAGGTTAGCTTTGAATGCAAAGATGGTACGGGGGTAAACAAAGACCGGCAAGAGGCAGGGAGACTCACATTAATCCAAAAACCTAACATTCCGCCTATCTGCCAGCCAAGCTCATACAGACCGACGAGCCGTCCTCGGATGGCAGGTGGCGCTAGTTCGGAAAGATATATGGGAATGATATTCGAGGCTATGCCGGTACCCAAGCCGGACAGCACACGACCAGCATAGAGAATACCAAGCCCTCGGGCACTGTTGGCACCGAGTTGTAGTCCAGAACCGAGAAAGAATACGGTGGCAGCTACAGCCAAACTCCATTTACGGCCGATGAAGTGGCCGAGGGCGTAAGTTCCCAGGGCGCCGAAAAAGGCACCAGCAATGAAAAGTGAGACGATGTTCTCGCTAATTAGATTTCGTTGTGGGGTGGACATCTCGTCGAGGCCGAACTCCTTCATGAAGGAGGCGAGTGTGATAGTTGTACCGATGAAGGCACTGGTATAACCGATCATATTGGAACCACATGATGCAATGCCGGCGAGTGCATATACACGCCAGTTGTAAACAGACTTCGGCGTTGGCCGATCCTCAGCGAGTGTGAGAATGCCCATGGCTGAAGAGGTGACAGCTCAAGCCGTGTGAGGTAGAATTGAAGGTCAGGGTGGGAAGACCAAAAGGTTTGCTCGAAGGCAGATGGATGAAAGAGAGAGTCAAGGGGTGCTAGAACGGGCCCCTAAGTAATACCAGACGTCCTAATGGGCTGTGGGTGTGGAAATTCCCCAAAGCTCCCCACAACACACGTCGCCTAAACCCCCATAGACTGGGGCAGTATAATATGGGGTTCGAGTGTGAGGCTACGTTACGGCGGTCATTACAGATGCATGAAGATGCCCAGGAGTGGGAACATTAGCCGGGGTAGCGTTTTTCCCAGAGGAAACATTCAGCCGGCAAATACATAAGCTTCACATAGTATCCAGCGTATATCAAACTGGATGGGATCATTGGACACTTTCTTGTTTCCTATTTGAGAGTGGTTTCTTGGGTGCAGTAGATGGTAAACACGTTTGTAGGATGTGCTTTTGCTTCTGCACTTGAGACCGGTTTTACGGCTTTAGCCGCTCGAGTATGTATATTATTGTATGCGGGCGCCGTGAGGCCCGTCGCCCCCAGTGACTGATTGTTTTCTCTCTAGTTTGGGCGGAACAGTAGTGCAAACTGTATTAGAGATACTGGCACAGCGAAGTCCCGCTTGTTAAGTGAATACTCCATGATCTGTTTTCCCCCAATTGTTCTAAGAGCATGCAAAAGCATCTGCCTATCCCTATAGGGGAGAACACTTAACCCCTGTGGAGCCGGAGTTTTGCCGAGCTCTCAGGCAGGCGAATGCCGTACTCCGTACGGAGCAAGTACAACAGACATGGCCGAAGAACGACACCGGCAAACGGAAGAAGGGGTAAAAGTCTATTTTCCTTGCCGACTCGGGACACTAGCCGAAGAGAAAAGAAGGAAGAATTTTCAACTGCATTTGTAAATACTATGCTTATAGGAGGAACCCTTCGAGTTGCATAATGACTTGTCCCTACCTGGAATCCCACATTCCGACCATATCCGCCGGAAGTGGCGACATAGGCCCCGGAATAGTTATTTGCACTAATGCACATTTTTCACTAAATGTATCTCCGGGGTTTACATCGCGGGGACCGTCGGGCCCAGATACCGACAAATAGATATATGAGCGAATGTGCCCATCTTATAGGTTAGACGGTTACTATATGATCCTGATGTTGTTGCCGGTGATATTTTAATGACAAGAACTTATACAAGCTCTTTTCGGCCCGGTTCCGGCTTGGAGGATGCCGTGGCGTTACCGCCCAGCCTTGCCCAGGTGGCACTCAAAAATGCACTATTGGAATCGTTAAAATCTAAATAACTTCTTGGCACGAAGCTGTCTCGACCCATCAATTATATCCTAGGGCCGTTCAAGAAATTGTGCTTCTGAACTCACAACTTATCGCTCAATGATTTTCCTGGTAAAATATCTGACACTTGATGGATTTTGCTGTGGGTGTGGGTCTTCCTTGATCCAAAAGACCCACAGATTCAGTTTTCGCCATAGAACCGGCAGGGGCCTAGGCGGCGTAGGGGACGAGAATGTATGGTGTATCACAGATTGCGGGGACTATGCTCAGCTCGGCTGATCTTTCAGCAATTGGACCGTCATGTAACTGAGACTCCTTGGAAAGGTGCAAAAGCTCCAGAATTGGAGTTCAATCATTGACACAGTCGCTTGATTGCAGGAACCTCATGCCAAGGGGCTTCCGAATATGAAGCTCCAAATGTCCGAGGCAGCTGCAAAGCATCGTTGGCCGGAAATACCCGGCGGTGCGACGCGACTCAGTCGTTCTGTGCCTGTCCAGCTGCTGCCCAACTTGTGGGTTATAGATGGACAGCTTACAACATGGGAGTTCTAATGCGACTTTCTCGACAGTTATCAAATCTGGGACCATGTTGATAAAACAATAAGCCTCACGTGCCAGAGCTGGGCGAGAAATGCGAGTGACGCGCCACGATCGCGCTAAATGTGGATGTCATTGCGAAGTTTTTTTGACGGGCAGGCATATTTTGTGTATAGTCTCTCAAACGAATATGCCCTAGAGAAATCCAGAAAGTTCACAAAGGAACATACACTATTGGAAAGTGGTGCCGGATATCGAGAAACTAGAGGAGACCAATATCCTGGAAGGTCTGCTTGCTGGAGGGACGTTGACTCCTGTCGCATCAAATATAGCCTGCGTATAAATTTTCCGTAAGTCATTGTGGCTTTACTTTTGGAAGGTTGGAAAGAGATATTAGGGAACCTGAGGCATAAATATCGATAATTATTGCCTAAGGCAGCAACACGTGCCATCAACCTTCCGCGTCTCTTCCAAGTCACGCTATATCAACACAAACTGCCTCTATCTCCCTGGACCAAACGCTTCATTTTACAAGAGTGGCCGACTCTTTTGGGGACTTTGTGGATACGCCGTCTCCCGGATCATGACCGCATCTAAAGCGGGGCATTTTCAAATCTGCGAGTCTTATCGGTTGGAGATATGCGAATCCCAGCGCGTGTCTAGTAATTCAAACCACGGTGTGTGAGGATCAGGTGTGTTTCACTAGATTATAAATAGCTAAATGAGCTAATCATGTCTCGACAAACCAGCAGAAAAGCAAACATTGAAAGAAAGAATTGAACACCTTAGCGTTCATCAGAATGGAGCACCGAGTGTCTCTCGGCTCTATCCAGAAGGCTGTCTGGGACGGGCGCTTACCACTGGAGATTGTTCTAGCTTCATCAGAAAGTCGAACCTTTGACAAGACGGATCCATATCTTGTATGTTTGTTCTTCAAGCACTTCATATGCACAAATGCTAATCTCAGCTGCTAGATCTCATATCCACGCATCTCATATCTCCCCTCGTTGCTACCTAAGCTTCGAGCTTTCTTCTCAAATTTTTTGATAGAGCCAAGCTCCCAGTCTCATGATGGCTGGTTTGAGGTTGAGGGTGTGCCTCTGAAATGGCACTACCCAGTCGGGCTGTTATTCGACCTCTATGCAGGAGTAGACCCGGCTTCGAAGACCGCCGCCAGAGATAACGAGTCCCCTGACGACGGGCGATCACTGCCCTGGCGTCTGATAGTGCACTTTAGCGACTGGCCCCATGACCTTGTTCGGCTTGATGCTGATGGAATGGTCATGAACGACGCCTTTATAAACAGTGTGAAGGAGGCAGACTTCCTGCGAAACGGTACAGCCAAAGGCATCATGAGTCTCTCAAAAGAAGACTCGTCAGGACTTTGGAATTCCGTTCAAGAAGGTGAGTTCAAGCATTCATGGGGATATTTCTCTACTCCATCAAGTATAGAGACCATTCTAACGCCGAAGAAACACAGTCGATCTTCTTTCCTTTCAGCGAATATCAAATATCCTTCTTCCTCAGCTCTCACAACCTTTCCGCAATGTCCCGATCCGGATCTTCCTACCACTGCCACTAGACGCTGAGTCTTCTTCCCTGAAAGTGGTACAATCGCCACTTCCTCCTTCAATAGCAGCATCCAGTATACAGTCGAGTCAAATATTGAGCTCGCGGAGCGGTTCCACTCTCCAGCCTCAAACGGTCGGGACTGTTTTGCACACCTTGCTACCAAATCTATTTCCCAGTCGGAGAACGCCTGTCCTTGCAAAGCCCGTATTACACGGTGCTGTGATACCCATGTCTGCTCCGATTGAAGAGGTTGTGAGGAGCTCTGCTTATGGAGATGGCTGGGCATACATAGTCGTTCGCATGATGGGATAATGTAATGCACACCAAGCAAGGAATATATATATCGTCTTCCAAGGATGCTAACAACTTTGCAAGATAGAAATGAACCATATTCGACTGTAGGCTGTTAGTGTAGACTAAAATAAAGGGTATTCCTCTCGCTTCTTTACAATAATCTCCAGAACTACCTCTAGCGGCAACGTCATTGCAGAAGAAAATATACAAGTGGACCGCGAAGAACTGGGAATTGGGTACGTCTATGAAATCGAGTGAGACCATATTGCTACGAATGAAAGGTAAAATTATCCACATTAACAATCTGGTTAATTGCCAAACTACCTATTCTGTAACTAAATGCAACTATACTAATCAAGGGGGTATCAGTCCGACCGTCCTGCGACGATCCGTCTTGCAAATTTGTCCAAGGGGGTGACAAAAGGAATGCGTATGTACCAACAAAAGCGCCAGAGCAATGATACCTAGGTACTCCCTTCGGCGATAGTAGCACAACAAGAAAAAAAAGCCAGACAAATTGTAAGCATACATATGCAAAGAGCTGAAAGCAACGCGACAACAAATATAAACACTCAAATCACATTTCCATTGACAAGCATATCATCACCACCGTCCCTACCCTTCTTCAGAGCCCGGGCAAGCATAAGCTCACGCATCCAGTCGATGCGCTCCTCACGAGACTTAACAGCGAAGTGGTGGCTTTTGACAGCATTGTTTCCAAAGAGTGCTTTTTTCTCACTCTCCTTGGTAGCTGGAATAAGCGAGAAAGCAAAAGCAGTACCATCACGGCTGTCAATAGTGTGGTTTCCATTACGCAAGATGGAGCGTTTGAACGCGGCCGTCAGCTTAGAGCTTGTCGCCAGCGACGAGCAAGCGACGGCATATTCATCGACCTCAATGTTGTCCAGGGCACGTGAGATGCGGTGCGCGTCGCGCTCATCCTTGTGCATGGCCAGGTTGGTGCCGCGGAGCGTGAAGTGTGCGTCTGACCACTCGTGTCTGAGCAGACGTGTGGTCTTGCGTTTCTTCATGTATCCCGCATGGGTAACGTCCGGATCGGAGGCTAGAGAAGAAGAGACTGAGCCGCTGTGACCATGTTGCCTCACGCGGGGGCTTCGAATTAAGTCTTCTGGGTGCTCGATCGGTGTCAGGGCCTTGTTCTCCTTCACCTGACGGAGAGGAAGAACATCATGAGGGCGGTTCGACGTGCTCCATGCAAGATAATTGTTGTCACGCAGAGGGAGATCATCACTGGGACCGGTCGAGGTGCTCCGTGCGAGGTAATTGATATCACACAGAGGGAGATCATGACTGGAACAGGTTGAGGTGTTCTGTGCCAGGGAATTGGCATCACGGTAAGGGGGGAACAAGCTCCCGTATTGCATGCTTGGGGGCACAGATTGCGACACATCACGGGGGATCGGATCACAAGGGATTGCAGTGATAGGGACGTCAACTTCGGAAAATGGTGTACCTTGGCGGTAGGTCTCAGTTGCTTGTGCTTGATGTGCGTGACTGAATGGGCCAAACTGCTGAACGGCAGTGGGAGAGCCATTCTGATGAGTGGGAGTGAAGTATCTGTTGGTGGTAACAGCGGTTGTCATATCTTCCGTGAGTGGGCTTGTCGGGATCGTAAGCTTCGGCAGACTGCGCAGATTTGCGGCCATGGAGTTTGGCTGGGCATTTAGCTGGGAGATATCCTCAAAGTCATCTGGCGGTGGAAGGTTGTAAGTGTCCGGCCCAAGGGGTCCAGGCTTGGGGAAGTCATCGACATGCTGGTGTCTGAGGAAGTTTCGGATTGTTTCCTGTGGATCCAAACGCTGTACTTCGCTCAGAGCTGCCTCGGAGAGTCTTGGTCCGGACCGAGGGCCAAAGATGTCTGAGGATGCCACCACTGAAAGCTCGGCCTCGGACGTGGGTCGGAGAAGATTTCTCGCGGTGTCAGGATTTCCGGGACTGCCTACAAAGGTAGCACCCCCTTGGAAATCTGCGCCAGGGTGCTCTGTGGCAAGCTGCCTCAGGCGCCTCTCTTTGAGTTTCTTAAACTTGCTGCAGTTTTCTCCTTTGGAGCACTTGTGGGGCTTTGGGTGGAATTCCTCGATTCCTACAATTGAGACAGACTCTGCGCTTGTGAATTGATCTCCACTCTGTCCAAGGGCATGTGAGGAGAGAATTTCACCGTCAGGCGATATAGACACCGTGTAAGATTGGCCTGTAGGGGGAGTTCTTGGGGTTCTTCTTGGAGTTCTTCTAGGAGCCAACTCTTGCGGGGCGAACTGCTGGGGGCCGAACCCCTGGGAGACGGACTCCTGGGGCACGGACTCCTGCCGGGCGAACGATTCAGGAGATCTTCTCCCGTTAGAAGAAGCCGTCTCGGATGGAAACTGAGACGGGGTTTCCGGAATCGGCCTCGTCTGCATGTGTTCCTTGAGGTATTTAATTGAGTTGAAGATCTTGCGCCGTTTGCCCATGGATTGAATTAGGAGTTGATCCTTGAGTTCGTCCTCTGTCAAGGACATCATAATGTCGCCGCTGATATCATTTTGAATGAACTTATCACGGACATCCTCGGCATATCCACCGATACATAGCCAGTGAGCAACCTGACTAGGATCCCAGTTCCTAATCTCCTCCTCCGAAAGATGAGACACATCGGGGTTGGGTGGGAAAGCCTTTGGTGTCTTGGGAGACAACAGATATGGGTTGGAGAACTCAGCCTGATACTGGTTGACGAACCCAGCCTGATACGTGTTGACAAACTCAGGCTGCGTAAATGATGGCTTTAAATTCGTAGGTGACGGCTCAAGATAGAACTCAACATCTACAGTCGAACCGCCGGAACCTCTGGATTGTCTGAACAAATCAGGACCTGAAGGACCCACAACCAGTTCCTTGCTTGACCGAAAGGTAGGCAGGTTTTTTGGAATGAGATCTGGAGTTGGTAGCTCAGGACTGGACCGAGTAGTGTTGCTCCCATAACTAAGCTGGTTGTTCCATGATATATTAGGCTTCATCCTTTGGTATAAGGATGAGAACACTTACCGATTGCATACTCTGCCGGTGAGATTCGCCCCAGTCACCACCCTCAGAATCCGTGTCATCAAATAAGGTTGCCCCTGAGTTGGGACGTTGTTTTTCAACAGTCTTTTTGGGATAGAACCACTCGTGGTTTGTCGTGTCTACCCCAGCAGGCACTACCCTTCGCCGAGCGGCCAGTGAAGAATTCTGAATCTAAAAATGGTTAACATGGATCATATCATTCCTCTTGTAATAAAACCTACCATTTCGTTAATCGTCAGTTTGCTAATCTCCAAGATATAGTATAATTAAATGAATGTGTTGTTGTTAGTGGTCCCCGCACAGCAGTGAACCAACTAGATACGAAATGAAAGTAAAGAAACAGAAAATAGAGTATAAGTGGCGATCCAGAACTAGAAGATCCAACAGAAGTTGGTGACACGCGGGGCAGTTGGGTTATATGTAATAAGTCCGCACTATCTGCTAAGAAAATAAGTACCCTTGAAACACTGTAGTGCTGGGAACCAATCTAGCCAACCCGAACCGCTCAACGGGACAAAATTTCCGTGTCATGCGGTGTTGATGAAACTCAGCGCGTAAGTAAAAGTCGGTAGCAGAGAACCGAGGCGATTGGTTAAGGGCAGGGATTCAAGGGCATATGTGATTGTGATACGAAGTGATCCACCTGCAGTAGTTCAGTTTGACATGCAAACAGCTCGCATTAGCGTTGAATTAGGCCCGCCCAATGATAACCCATTACCACAATTATTTCGAAAACGAGGCGGTCCAAACGTGGACCTTGACTGGCTTAAAAGGATGCGTATTTCTCAAAAGCGAGCATGCTGTCGAAGTTTGTCTCGAGAGTGAAGGTGTGATCAACGTGTGACTGGCCTGCAGTTAGCGCCCATGCAGCAACCCCTCCCCGACTTCCCACCTATAGGAACCCGATGTAATGTGACGACGACACATCAACCCTCAATTAGCGCTACGCCGTTCTCTGAGGAAGTGAGCACTCTCACTCAAGGTTGCTATATTTAATTGCGATTCCATTCCTCGAGTCATGTCCCTGGTTTCTTTCTCCACGTTGCTAGGGTTCCCGCTTGCCAACGGCGTTTCGTCAACAACACTTAAAAATATGCCCGGTTGCATTCTCTGATTATCTTCTTTCGAATCTGGCCTAGCGGCTTCGTGGCTTTGAATATCGCACATTTTTCTCATTCCCGTATTATTATTCGTTGATATGGTGTGAACCTTGGGGGCCAATCGAACGGTCTGTGTACGGATACAAGGAGTTGAATTGTTGTCTTAACCTCCGAGAAAACCAATCTGGGAGGGCTGAGTCTACTGTGAATGGAATGCTGCTGGCCAATTTCCGAATCTTTCCAGCCATCGCATTCTCTCACCGCTGTGTCAATCGTGAAATATTAGGTCTGAAAACCCCAAAGATAGCTAGGGTGAGGGGTTGGGATGTGCCATTTGCTGCATATTCGTCGGCCCGCATTGGCAAATTAGCTGCAGTTATTCATATGGAAAAGATCAACGCCGTAAATTGTCGGATTTAACAAGGAAAACATACCGCACTTTTGAGTATGTCAGTCTGAGATGGTAGTCAGCATTTTCCACATATGGGCTCGCACATATCCTACCGACGGAGATATCATATGTAAACTAAGCACATTGTCTTCGGCCCTACTCCGTATAGAGTATAAAACCATGACAGCCAACCTGATGTACTCCAGATAATACGAAAAGTCAGCATGGCCGCATGCGACTTTGGTAACAGCAAATATGCAAGGGTGGCCCAGATAATAACCGGATATCTACAGATATATCGTACTCTGTACCATGCCATTTCCAACCTGTCGGCTGTACCTCTTTGGTGCCTGAGTGGTTGTGTGACGTGCGATGGTCTACAAGTAGAACAGGCTTTAGATTTCATCTCCGAAACAATATTGGAAGACCTAATTTCAAGCAAATATTCGCAACTGAGAATCACACAATTGACAAAAGCGTTTGGTGGTCACGCCGCGGTCTGCATCTATGTATACTCGTACCCACTGCTTTCGAGCGACATAGATCATTTATGCGAGGAATACAAACCTGGCAATATATTACAGGTCACACATCGTAGTTAAATCTACGGAGTACGGAGTACAACCTAGGAGAACGGAAGCTGACAACGAGATGAGAGGCATCATATCACTTGATGGATGCTTTCGTGCCCAACAGGGACAACGAACTACTCAGGTGCTAGATAATGGCTGATGCGTGGCTTTTAACGTTCGGTCATCATAATACTAGTAAAGCATCTAATCAAAAGATGATTATACAGACCGTCAAATTGTGACCTGGGAACTCCAACTTACGAACTTGATATCATTATTCTCCAATAACCAAACCCCCAAGTGGATTAGGGGCTCTTCCGGATTTGGCCTACAGGTCCTACTTCGTGATAGGTTAAGTTGTGTGATGGTGAAAGGCACGAGGAATTTCCTAATTGTGTGTTCATACTTTGGCAGTGTGAATAGAAAATTTCCAACAGGCCGAGGGTTGGCTTAAATGATTGGGATTGACAACAATGTACGGGAAAATCTGACTCCGAAGCAGAGTACGGAGTATTCTAAGCATACTGTGAGATAATGAGTCGGTCAATCATTATTTCCTCTGCCCGCAAGTCACGCGAGCCGAGCTGCAGTCGGCCGTTGCTAGTGGGAAAGGGAAGAAAGCGACTTGGCATTCTAGTACTTTGAGGGGAGTTTGATGAGAAAGGCCACGCCAATTGCAGTTCGAGTATGGATTAATTTGTCCTATTTTGGGACTCACCTCGATCTTCATTGAGGGTTATTAATAGTAAGTTCGTTCAAAAGTAGACGCTTAAGGTTAGTTCGACCAAAAATTGAAGGATTGATATTATCCTATAGATAGACTGAAGTAAAGGATGTTAAATTAACTCATATTGTGCCGAAGGTGGGCGGTTAAATGTTGCTAATTAAGGGGGACAAACCTTGAAAAAGCACGCTAAAGTCTTATCACATCACATGCCCCGCTCAAATATGCACAGACCACCATCTGTGGGACAACAGGCTATACCCTTGTCATCCATTCAGAGCTCTCAATGACCCCGGCCAAGCAGTGGGCAAATTTACCATTCTTGTCCCTTAGGCCAGTTATGATGCGAGAATTGAAAGCTTGGCTTGCTCCACCTATACTGTCACACTTCTCATATTCCTTCAGTTCAAGTCACTGATCTACCATCTTCTAGGGGTGACTGATCTCAGTCATTGGTTACAATGAATCCTGCGGTCAGACTTCTACTAAATTTGTCCGAACCTTTGCGGCAATTTTCTGAATTTAGTAACTTAACGAGAATTTATGCCGGCCATGTTGCTCGTCACATCTCACCCCCGCCTGCAGCCTTCGTTCCTTGCAGGTCAAGGGATTTTGTGACAGTGGCTTTGGCTACGAATAGGTTTAATATATCAATCACTCAGTTGGTTGGTGTAAAAGTATCTGAATACCAACAATCAAGTCTGAGTGTTGGGTTGAAACCTGAGACTATTGCACGGCGAAAGGGAACTAGAACCAACCCGAAAACCGAGATTAATCCAGGTCCAATGAGGTATCTGCAGCCACCCATGTTACGGAGTCGAGAGCACGGAACCCCAGTCCGGCCGAAGGATCTTCATCCAGTCCCTCGAGGAACTTGGACATCGAGGTGCATGCGCTAACGCCGCCATGCGACCTCAAGTCACAAAATAATGGAGCTAATTGTCCCAAATTTAGTCTCAAAAGACTAGATTGCAACCTTTACCACCGTTTCTGCAACTCTCATTGGTAGCTTACTCCTGTTGGCTTCCCAGCCCAGCAATATTCTGCGATGATCCAACCCCAACTCGTGCTGATGACCCCCAAATTATCCCAACTTGCATTCAATCTACGAATTGTGCGGGTGGGTTCTAAAATAGAAACACCCGCTCATGCTTCCACAAGCTATCATGAGTTTTAAAGCATCGTAAATCCCACAGTTTTAGTTCCTCATTCTCATCATCTTCAAACAGTTGCTCAGTCAACCACCCTCTCTTTTCTTTCTATCTTGATAGACTGCAAAGCCTGCTGGTTCAGCTTTGCCATAATACCTTTCATCTGCAATTGATTCCGGTCTTTTGATTATACAGTCACTGTCATCGATCATTCTCCGGTCATCTAATCTCAATATCTCAATATGCCTTCGAAGAATTCCTCCGCCTCTGCTTCTAAGCCTCGAGCTTCTGCGCATATGTCAATGCATCAAGACACTCCTCATGCACATGGAGACAGACCAAATGGTCGGATGCACAAGCGATCGCGGTCTGGTATGCGATCCACTCTTTTCTTGGCGCACTGGCCCTAAAGTCGCCCCGATGAACCATACTAATTCGAACAGGTTGCTTCACATGCCGCCTACGTCGGAAGAAGTGCGATGAGAACCATCCTGCCTGTACCGCCTGTGTCAGTCTTAATGTGCGATGCGAATACAAACGCCCGATTTGGTGGGGAAATCCTGAGCAACGGAAAGCCCAGAAAGAGCGCATCAAGAACAGGATCAAGGAAACCAAGATGCTCGAGCGAAACGGTAACCACTCTCGTATGCGTTTATGCCATTCGGATTTTTGGTACATTTTAACTAATGTCTGGGACACTCTAGACCGCCATCGCCGTATCTCTACGACATCGCCAACTTCACCTGTGCACGAACATGGTCGTGCTAGGTATAACGAGCCCTACGATCTTTTCTCGTCCCAACTGCCTACTCCTGGGTTAGGAAGCGCTCCTCGCGGACCTTACGCGCCTTCCTATGAGGTCGATGTGCGAACCGAGCGACAGACATTTGTCAACGATGTACCTATGCGTCATGATTCTTCGACATCAACATTCAGCGCATTTGCACCTCCTCAACTTAGTGCTCCGATGCCAACTTTCGCTGGCGATGAATGGTTTGGAGATGAATATTTTGCACAAGCCTCAACATTTAATGGTGCCAATCCGGGAGCCATTAACCCTAGCTACAATCACACACATGCATTGCCCCAAAGCAACATTGCTGTCAGCGACCATGACCGTCCACTCCTCGATCACTTTATCCACAATGTGCTGCGCCAGATCTTCCCCGTCCTGGAAGCTCACCAAAAAGGCCACTTGCGTGCACAATCAATTCTCCGCGCTCTGGAAACAAATAGATGTTATCTTCACTGTTGTCTGAGTGTCGCTGCCATCCACCTCAAGACTACCGAAGGATTGTTTGGTGAGCAAATTGACCATGATATCATGCGGCACCGTTATGAGGCCATTTCTCAGCTGTGCCAGGCTTTGGGAGATGATGTTAATCACGATGAGATCCTGGATGCGACTCTTGCGATGATCTTCTTTCACTGCGCTGTTGGCCCTTCAGATGACTACCTTCCCGACATTCCGTGGTTTGATCATTTCCAGGCCGCATCAAATCTTGTAACCCGACTCGAACTTCCGACTGCAGTAATCCAGGACGCCAACGGATACCCGGCTCCCCCATTCAGCATGAGCTTGGCTTCTTGGATTGACATTCTCGGCTCGACAATGGCGGGCAAGACTCCCGAATTTGCTCATCAGTACCGATCAAAGCACTTGGGCGGAACCTCCTCTGGCTTACGCGAGTTGATGGGATGCGATGACAGGATCATGTATCTCATCTCTGAGATTGCTTGCCTGGACTCTCTAAAGAGTGAGGGTCGCGTTGATGATTCGACTGTCCGCACTCATGTTAAGGCCCTGGGGGAACAACTCGAGTACACAACACCGGCCGATAACACGCTGGAGAGCCCATTCTCACCAGCAACTGGAGCCATTCGCCCTGATGCCCTTACCAAGACCATGTCGCACATCTTCCGGATCGCAGCTCAAATCTATCTTTCCAGCATCGTACCCGGCTTTGATCGCAACCAAGCAAACCTCGATGGCTTGATCGCCGCAGTAACAGACGCGCTCCAATTCATTCCTGCTGGTCCCCATGGCTACGACCGCTCTCTTGTCTGGCCCCTGCTCATGACTGGCGTGTTTGCCGGACCATCGAGTTCATTCCGATCCGTGGTCGCCGATCGCGCTGCTGCACTGGGTGACCATGGCGACCTCGGTAGCTTCGGACGCATGTACCGCCTCCTGCAAGAGGTGTGGCGCCTGACAGACGACCCCTTCAGCTCTCAAGTCCCCTCTGGAGACAACTCCTACAATTCCTCGCTTACCAGTCCAATTTCCAGACTGGACCCCTCCAACTCCCCCTCTGGCGCTGGCGCCACTATGGGTGGACGGGAGATCAAGAAGCAACAACTCCACTGGAGAGACATCATGAAGCGGAATAACTGGCACTACCTCCTTATTTGAGGAGCATGTCTTATTTGTATTTTCATTTATTGTATCTCTCATGAGATTGAGTCTCGTGCTGGCTCACCATTACCTAGATGGTAAAAGATACCCCACTTCGCAAGCAGCCGTTACTTTTTGTATGCGAAAGAATTCCCTGTCTTCAAACCTTGCTTCCTATGCTGTTCTTTATCTATGGCGTCTTGCGCTGGTGTTTTGTTCTTGTTTTGATCTAGCATTAGGATCGTCTGCATATATTCCGAATTTACTCAAAATCCAAGAGATATCGTACCAATATTCTTTCTCACTTCTCTCATCTTCAATAAAGTGCATTATAGCTTAATAACTCCGGACCCGTGAAGCACATACCTGGGTAGTCCTCTCGAATGTTGAAGAAATCAAGGACTAGACAGCGAACCCTAGAGTCAGAAATTTCCGCGGGTAGAGGCAGAAAGATGTTTCTCGACTACTTGCCTGTTGTAATCCTCAGAAGAGCTAAACATGTGCAAGTCCCACTCGGAGCATAACAAGAGCTTTGACATGTTTCCTTCCGGGTATGTATCAACCAAAGATTGACAATATTTTCCAATTCTTCGTAGAAGTAGAGGGCGCGTCTATGTTTATAACCAAAAGGTACCGCTACACAGACCGAAGCTACGCGCGAAGGATAAAGCCAATTGAATAAAATAACATTGATTGTTTCGGATCCTGCAAAATAATATTGCAGTGTCGACCAGTACTCCCTCGAGTCACAACTTAGTGCATCCACTATGAAGCAAAGCGCTTGTTGCTTCAACAACGTAGGTAAATTAGGGAGAAAGTCCAAACTCCCCGAGCCCTTGTGAGAATGTAACAGTGACAATGAAGATATTGGTATAGCGCGTTGGTTCAATTAGCAAGGAAATGTGAAAACGTGGTTTCACCACTCCCAAGTCCATCCAAACAAAAGTATAGAGTTCTGTTGGACAAGTGATGACAATAGATGCACAACATGGTTTTTCCAACTATGGCTTCGGTGAGAAATTACATAGGCACGTGGTTCGAGGTTTCAATGTCTTCAATTGTTCACTATTAGCGCTAAAAAAATCAGAATTATCATTTATCACCAACCCAATTTACATCCATTCTTTGAAGACTGAGGTGAACACATAACCACCCAGAGCTCGTTGTCAAGAGCTTCCCTTAGCAACAATTTGGTAGGCCAAATGTGAACAATGTCCCTGTAATAGATCTAGCCCTGCATATATCCCTAGGGCTATTAATATCGTGCAGCTGCTGAAGAAATGTGGAGATAGAATCTTCTTCAGAGATCTGGTAGAACACATGAATGATTGGATGGAGAGTTCAGATCGCATATGTTAAACAAAGGTCCCTGTTTGATCGTCTAGCTCGAAACACAATAGAACCAACAGAGGTGTTTGGGTTAGCGCACTATACTAGTGCCAAAATAGGAAATGTTCAATTCTCAAACCGAGATACCCCTTAAAGCGAGCCGCCAGCAGAGCTGCAAGCTGCTCGCTTCAAGGCTGGACGAACCAGAGCGTGGTACAGAATAAACAGTGGCTTGAATGGCAGGTCATCGCCTGGGACAACAACCGCCCTCTTCGGCGGCTCCTGGTACATGGCATAAGGGGTCTTTTGATTCAGATGGCGCGCGCCAGCGACGCTCATGTTGCTCCTGCGTAGCTTTGCATTTCTGCAGCGGGCATGGAGGGGAGGTCTGGGGAACAGCAAACTTGAAAGATATAAAGACGAAGACATGATGCTGCCTTGATCCAGAGACATCTTTCCACGTTCTTCTTTTCACCTGACCTTGACTTGCTTCTTGGCCTTGCCGGTTCAAGTCTCAATTTACTTTTCGATTGCCCTCGTTGCATTGATTGTCAAGAGAACGAAATAATTTCTCTTTGGAAAACATTGCCGATATAATTTTAGCCCTCATTAAAAGCTCACGCAAATAGTAAGTCACTGCCACACTTTTGCCGCCGGTCCTGAAGGATTTGGGGGTTCAGATGGGCCCAGGGTGCCCGTTCGGGCTCGAACCCCCCCTGCTCAGCCTCTGTAACTTACACGAAATATTACAGGCTGGTCATTTTACGGTTTCAAACGCGAAATACCTGTATCGCCCCAATTATCCCAGGATCATCCGTCTGCTCAGATAAAACACTCTCCGCATCCTTTCGTTTTGCTGCTGGCTAGCCCTCTCTTCTGTTCTTGGTCTCTTTGCTATTGCTTCGAGCCTTGTTTTTTCCTTTCTTATATCTTTTTTATCATCTTCCTTGAATTGTCTGCTTCACCTCAACTACTTCGCCCGCAGCCCTACCCCATCCCTCTACCTACTTCCTCAACCCACCTTTTTTATTCTTACGCTCTGTCCTTGCTCAGCATCATTGTGCCTTGGTCAAGATGCCGAGTGTCAAACCCATCCTTCCTCCTCTCAAGACGCCAAAGACTGAGATTTACCCATCGCAACTTCACAATGGCTCTGCATCCAGTGTTTCCGACTACATCAAGCAGGAGGATCAACCGACTCCTATTACACCTCCGACAGCCTACACAGAATTTCTCAAGGCCCTCACACCCGTCTTTACCGGTCCTACGAGCGCTGGTATCAGCCTTCCAAAATATATCGGTGACAAATCCTCGAAACCCTCCACTACTACATCGCCCACGTCTCAACCCGCGAGCGCATTGAGTGGGTCGACGTTTAGCGATTCGGTCAGATCCCCGACTGTATCTTTGCCACCACCCACACCAAACTCAGCGGCACCATCCCGAAAGAGTTTCCATGGTCGCCGCCTTCGCATCCAGTCGTCGCTGAAGTTCTCGCCGAGCGGAGACTCACCCCGAAGTGCAACACCCCAGAGCGCAACACCTTGGAGCGCGACACCTAGAAGCGCGACAACTCTTCGATCGCCCTTCTCGCCGTCAGATTGGACGCTACGCTATTACGATTCGCCCCGCAGTGCGAAGCCTGTCAGTGTGAAGCAAGTTGTCACGCGAACTGTGACCTACAAGCGCACTCAGCTTGAAGCACCCCCGAAGGGAAAGCGGCGCAAGTGTCGGGAAGCCCAGGAAGTTGACCGAAAGTCTGGGCTTACGAATTATGCTGTCTGATTCATGCATTTGGCTAGTCGGTCGTTTTAGCGTGGGGGCTGGATTCGGCGTTGCGAGGGCGCATTTTCTTTTGTTCAAAGTCATACACTATAAGCCCGGCGCTTTATTTTCTTGTTTTCTTATGCGTCTTGGTGTCGTGTCAGTCTGCCTTGCAGGCGGTAATTCGATAAATACGTTTTGTGGCTGCTTGGAACACACAATATTATTCGTGACTAGGGTCCCGTTAGACATCGGGACATATGGGGGCCCTTCCTCACACCGACAGTTGCATCTAACATCGCAATGAATTACTGCTTTGCGCCTGATTAGTGCCTTGATAATCGAAGGATATTTTCATGTATTATCTACACTGTTTATCCTCTCTGTCATCGTCAGTGCATTCTCATTATAACTGATTTCCCTTCTCTGCCCTTCGTATTTATGTAGGAACAGAACTCGGGACCATTCTTGAGCCAGGGCGCATACTCTGCCCGGTGTATGTAGTCTACGAATACTAGCTTCGAAGTATTGGACACGTCACGTCACTTAGACACCGTCGAATCGGAACAAGCAATTGCTTAATAAATCTCCAGCTTTAGCGGCTTAACCAACAATGAACTCTCGATCGGATAGGACGATATTCGACGAACGGCCGCTTTGACCACGCGGAGACAAGGATGATAGATCCTGGCAAATGGGGTCGGTAACCACCAACAACAATTTTATTTCGTACACTCTGAACACGCGCCTTGTGTTGGCGCTATCTATATTCTCGGGTGCCGCTATCCCTATTTCTCCTACCATGCATTCCACCACGTGCCACCCGTGCAAGAGGCTCTTTTGGAAAAGGTCGATCTGTATGAGCCTCATTCAAGGTACAAGAGTACTTTGTCAACGCACTTTTTCCCTGGCTAAGAATACCCAAATCTTGAATATTGTGAGTAAACATGGGAAGCATGCCTTTCATGTAGAGCATATCCTACTACGCGGTGGCGCTTGGTTCCTATTTTTGAACCAAGGATCCATGGATCTGGACGAGGCTGAGCCAGCCGTTTGGCCCCTTTACTACGGAGTATACTACGACATTAGAAGTCAAAGGATTTCATACCAATCCACAGAACAACCCCCAGGGATAAGTTGCATCTGAGCGCAGTTGGTCAATTTTTTGACTCGACGACCGATCGAGCGCTACACTGGTGAAATGTCCTAGGATGCATGCTCGTCGATGTTATCGGAAACATTCTGACTCGTGCGGCTTCATTTCCAACGAAGGGAACAATGTATCCTGGTAACGTGACAGGTCCTAGTCCCCATCAAATCAAGCCTTACTCGGATTTGTTTATTAGTTCTCAGTCTACTCGGAAATGCCCAACATTGGTAGTGAGTACGTAACGTGCAAAATGTGAGGTGGTAATATAGATACTGCATGTACTAATCCGGTATATTACCAATTACTTGAGGTAATATTACCACGTACGGGCAGTACCGGCGGATACAAAGATGGGCTAGTCGTAGTCTGCCTGGGCGATATTGAATTCATCGTAGCACTAATGCGGAAGATCGCACCTTCGCTTCAATATTCATGCAGGCAACGAGAGCTTACAAAGTCTACATCTGTTAAACTGTCCAGTAAGCACGCAGAATACGAGGTTTCCCACTTCATTCCGCAAACATAAGCACCGAGTACGTTTGTGATGTAGGCAACTGGGGCGTGACAGTCATAATTACGCCACTGATTGGGCCACATAGCGCCTCCCGTGTTTCAAATTGTCATGAAGAAATGTGACCAGGGATCAAGTCGCTGTTTTATCCGCTAGATGGCTTCCTTCCCTGTCCTAACCCGCTACTGTTTCAAGTCTGCCCCTAGGATATGGGACACACCAGCGTTTCATTCTCTAATCAAGCGCGCTGTAGAATATGGACTTATTTTAGCAAAAAAAGAGAGGTATGGGTAACACCTGGGTTACCAGGAGAGTAGTACAAACCGACATTACCTGCTAAGAACGAAAAAGAAATACACGAACACCGTTCGAACACTCATTGGGACAAAAATCAGGACTGATGACCCTTTTTCAAAAAATAGAGTTTCTCTGCTCTCCGAGACTATAATCTCTAATTTTCACTGACCCTCTTGGGTGTTTATATTGGTTCTTCTTCGAGGCATCATCACAGAAGACCCAGAATAAAAATAACATACCGCTCACATCCATGAGATTCTGGCCAATCAGCGGTATTAATGAGGGGCACCGAAGACGTGGTAAATGCAATTAAGCGCCGGCGCTATACCTATCTTGAACAACAAAAATACGGAACACTGGGGATTCCGTGCTGCCCCACCAGCGCTCGGACACTAGTGTGGATTCCTGATTGCCAATTGGTCTACATCGTATGTATGCAGGTAGGGCCAGTTCTTACAACATGGGTTGTCGGTCGATGACCTATTTTTGGCTGAGAACTCTCTCGCATGGCACTCAAGGATTATGCGAGTGCCCAGGTGACATCTTTTTCCGCGCCAAGGCAAAAAAATTCATGTGATTTCCTCAAGTGCAAGCATATATAAATAGAATATATAAATAGGAAGATGGAAAGAAGAGCTGTTCTTATTGGAAAAAGTTGGCCGATATTAAGTAATGCACTTGAGAACATTTATGGGTTGAAAGCCACGGACTAGAACAATACGTGTAGGTTCCCATTTACCTTTTTGAAATCGTACTCGGTCCCTCTCACGAGTAGCACCCATGGAAGATAATAAAGAGGGGCAAATCATTATAGGTCGACTTTCTCATGACTTTGCGTGGCTGCTGTACACGAATTGGACCTGCGAGGCCTCGGTTCTCCTGCAAGACCAATTATATCCAAGAGAGATATTGAGGGGGAGGGGTATGCATATTCCTATGCGGTGTGATACCCCGTGTGCTATTCCGTTATCACCTTGTTCTATTCATAGAATTGGATACCACCTGCATTCCCTGCTGCTTTTTTTTTAGCTCAAGGTGAACAGGGGTGTGCTATTTTTGGCACCCAACGTCATGTAGAGTAAGTATGTTTGGATATCGATCTATAGAAAACTTTGCTGAGTGCAAGCGCATTAGATATACAAGCGGAACAACCAGATCTACACTCCATGTAAGGAATACGTCCCGTTCAATCTTGCCTCCTTCTTGGACGACTCATTCTAATGATCTTGGGCACGCAATCTAATAGCTCATTTCCCATGCTCGCAAAACTCAAGACTTGAAGCGAAGATCAACGCCGAGAAGCACAGATCTATCCCTCAAACCAATATCGTGTCTGTATGCTTTCCTTTAATTGCCTGTGCTCCACCCAGGTGAATTTCCGGTCCGTATTTCTTAGCCATGAACTATACACCTCTTCCAATGAGAAGCTGTAAGAGCTTGAGATTCCACTTTCCTGCACTCTACTGATCATCCTCAAGACCATGCTCTCATTCTGACTTCCAATAATAGCTCTTGGTAGCGCCTATATCTTCTATTTTTGAACATCGCCGTCGCCGTCGCCTTACACACCCTTCGCCCTCGGCGATCACACAGTCTATGGATACTAACCTCTGACAATCAAGGAGATCCAGCGGCAATCGCAAGAGCTTTGGCCAGTTTCCTATTTACATCACCACACTCTCCACAAGGGGCCGTGAAACCTCAATTCAGCTAACTGTTTTCTCCAAGATATCCAGGTCCATGCCAATCAGGGCACTCCGTCTGAGCTCTCTGCAGGGCAGAAGCTCTCCATCACAAGCTTATGATTAATTTTAGAACACAGATCTTTATTGATGCTGCTTCTATTCGCAGACATTGCCGCCTTGAGCAAAGTGCCGCTGCATGGTCTTTCCCATCGACCCCGTATGAACTTTGTTGATCCCGACCTTGCATAGGGCTTCGCACCATTCATGCCTGTCCTTCATGGCCTGGTACCATCTTGTTGTCCGTTCGTACGATACTGTATCATACCTAGGCCTGTCTTCATACGAAAACGTAGGTATTGTATGCTTCGATGAACGATATCACAATTTACTCAGTGTTCATCCCTGAGCCGGTGGCACTACCTGAGGCTGCCTTCTGACTACCCTTGACTATTGGCGCTCACAATTTTGGGCTTTTTGTTGATTCTGATTCTATCTTTAGAAGCTGTCCTCGGTCAAAGCAAGTCGTCCTGTCTATTCCCTAGGATATACTTATTTATGTCACCACTCAATATAAGTCAGCCTATGCCATGCCGATGTTTTTCCTTTTGGTTATTTCTTTCGTTCCCATAATGTACCAACAATCACACCATGGGTTCAAGTCAATATGCAAGCATTCCAATAAGAGATAATTGTTATATTCTCAATATAATCTCCTGGCTTGTGTGTAGTTGTCGGTTCATTTACCAACTTTGGCAGCTTCTTCAATTCATTGGATCGGGACTCGTACAAAGAGAGACCAAACATCTCTCTCAATTCCTCTTCCTCCGGCCTTTCTTTTACTTCAAAAGAAAGAAAAGAAAAGACAATAATGGTCTGTTGCCAATAGGTTTGGGAGCACGACCATCCAATTGGATGGGACATTACAACAGGTTGCCCATTTTGGAACTCACCTCGCTAACTACGAACATTTCACTGGAGAAGTTGTACGGAGTAGCATAAATGAGTCCAGGGTTGCAAAGCCCAATTCTTTGATGTTGGCTGCATGAATGCCAAGAAGCGGCGGTTCTAAAATTAGAGAGGAACCAATAGAACCCCTGCTCCAACTTCGCATCCCAGCAATACATGAAACTCCACGAGCAACACGGCAAGGCCTTTGACGACTAGTCCCGCATTTGCCTGGCCCAGGTGCTTTCTTCCTACCGATCCCGTGATCGCCGAGTCATTTGTAACGACCCCGCCCAGTTCATGTTGCCCTCTCCGCCCATCCGCTCTGTCTTGTCCAGCGCACTCTTCCTCTCTCATTTCCGCTCCCTCGTGATTTGGCCAGAGCCCGCGCCCATTTTCTAGTCCGGATCTCAAGTCTCCGAAGTACACGCCCGACAGCCTCCATTACCATGGCTCAAGCACCACCCACATTCACTCCGGACAGCGAACTCGCTGAGCTAGAAACCCCTCGAGGCTCTAATAATGGAAGCCTTTCGATAACGGCGCTGGCTCGATTCGAGTTTGAGCCTGGCAGGGGTAATGATGGCACTAAAATTCTGATGATTGAGTGGGAGGACGACGATCTCACCCGATCTGCGATGGACGGGTCCTGGCATGTCTCATGGGCCGGCAAAACTGCTACGATGCCCACTGATGAAAGACCGAGTGACAGCCTGCGCCGTTGCTACTTCTTGCTCCCGCCCCATACTACCATTCCTCCCGTCGTCACTCTGTCATATGAGACCAAGCCCTCGGCTCCGGGGTCGGCTGATAACATTGTGCCTGCCCCACCAAGGCCACAGGACACCTTCCAGCTCAATCCTCTCCCAGCCATTTTCCCTCCTGAATTGGGTGCCACAGGACGCACAGCTGGCAAGAAGGGCGTTCTGCATACTATTTGGGCAAAGAAACGCCTGCAGGTTCTTGAAAAGGAGATTGAGGATGAATCACGCAACAATGTCGAAGGAATCGCGCTGCTTATGGCAATTCAGGAGAAGGAATGGATAGAGTTGAACTTTGGAGTAGGCTCGCGGGCCGTCGACTCAGTTGACAGTAGCCATGACTCATCCTCCGTGTACCCAGCCACGCCGGTGTCGCCTGTCAGCGGCAGGAAGCTGGGTGACAAACTCAAGGGACTGAGGTTGCAAACCAGTGAGAGGGATCTATCAGGAAGCGGTATGTGTTTCTGCATCGAGTTACATGTCCCAGGAGCTAACTGACTAGGACTAGGCTCGCACGGAGCATCGCTTCTATCCCCGCAATCGCCTGATGTTGCGGTTTCCTCTTTCAGCTCATTTCGCAACGTCGCCCACCGACACATACACTCCATGCCAACGCCTAACACCAATCCCACCCCTACGCCAAGCTCTCAAATTAATCCCTCTGGTCCCGAAGCACTGAAACCTGTTGCACTCTTCCCGCCTGACTTCCTCCAGGGGACTCAGCAAACAAGCGAGCCCACTGGATTCGCAGCAATGGGCGCAGCGATGGGTGCAATCCCGCCCACTCCGAGCAATGATTCCGGCGAGGAATTGTTCGCCAAGGCACTGAGCCCACGCTCACCGGATCTTCCCCGCAGCCCGTTTTCATTCCGTTGAACTTGAATTTCTCATGCATGATATGATACCATACCATCTTTCACGACTTGCTCAATGATTCCCCTTCCGCGGTGCCATACCATCTGTCCACATTACATGCATCTATGATCATTTGTCCATTCTTTCTGTTCTGTCCATACTCCTCGGGTGCATATCATGTCATAGTCCTGCATTTTCATCTGCTATCTTGCTCTTGTATTGAGGTGCCCATACAATACATATCTATGTATGGATCACATATGTACATAGACGGAAGTCGAATTCTACGACCTCTCGACAATTAAGAAACAAAAAGGCATCTCCAATGATTTTCTTTGCGACGGCAAATCCCCGTCTGCTTAGGCGACTAGAAATAATATAATAGCTACCAAGCAAAGTAATCAGGCGCACCATCCCACACCTAGTATCCATAAGCCTAAGGCATACATGAACAAAAGCAAGAGAAACAATCAATAACCAGAATCAATTGCTCTTCTTACGCTGACTTCCCTGGCGACCCGACTTAGTAGCAGTCGCAGTCGACGCACCGGAAGCGGTGGCAGTAGCGTCGGCGGACTCCTTCTCAGTCTTCTTAGTAGCAAACGACTCATCTTCCTGCGCATCCTTGCGCTCCGCATACCACTGCCCAGCCTGCAGAACGAGGATACCAACGAGGACGAGGGCGAGAATAGTATTGCTAGCAGAAAGAACCTTGAGCGAGTCCTCGCGACCAAGGATCTGCTCCTTCTCGTCGGCGGAGGAAGCCAGCTCGGCGCCGTACTGGCCGGCAGAGGCGAGACGCAGGCCCTTGACGATATTGGCGATGTAGACTGTCACGCCGCACATGTATAGGACCAGCGAGGCGCCATCGAAGAGCATGTTTGATTCGGAGGGCTTGTAGAGTTTGGTGAGGAGGCCGGCTAGGCCGAGGAAGATTACGATGTGCAGGATGCGTGGGATGAGCGGGGGCGAGGCGTGCAGGAAGCGGAGATGCGCTTCGAGATAGTCATAGTGCGCGGCCGGGGTCAACACCGTCGACCACAGGATCGGGTAGTCGTAAGGGAAGAGGGAGAAGATAATGCCCAGGAAGAAACAGGTTGCTGGTTGGGCAGATTGGGTTAGTTTATTACAGTCTCGTGGCCTCTTCGCCGTTAGGGTCCGGGGAAGTGGCCGATGCGATGGACTTACGGCAGACGATGAGGAAAGTCGCGAACGACCCGCTTTTGAAGGCCATTGTGGAATTTGGAAAAGCAGACTGGATTGTTTTGAGGGGAAAGAAGATGACCAGGGGCAAGGCCGAAGTCCTCCAGGCGTCGCTAAGCGGGTGCCAAGCCCGGGGACGGGAGATAAGGACGTTTTTACAAATTCCAAGACTTTTGGATGGCCAGGGAAATTAGAACATTTCATATGAAATTTGGAAATAGATTTTAACAAGCAAGCGTATAGATACAGATTTCAACGCCTTTAGCGCCGTTTCATAAATGATGCGAATAGTGGTATCTTCCAGAATATCCCGTAAATGCAAATGTACATAACAACCTCCTCATCGCTGGTACCGAGGCAACGATTCGTCTGCATGCGCCGTCCCACCGACCAGCTGGTCGTCCTCATCAAAGACTGGCGCACTTGGCCCGTCGCTTGGTTCCTGACTCCTGGGCTCATCTTGGGGTGCACTCGCCTGCTCCTGGAGTCGGTGACGCTCAAGCTCTTGTTTATCGTCGCCTGATGCACGTGGCTCGCTGGGCCCAGCGCCGTTCACAACGACAGTCTGTAGGGACTCCGCAGAGCGGACAGTATGCGGCTCCCCGCTTGTATCTGGTGAAGGCACATGTTGGTAGTCTTGAAGATGATGATCATCTGGTAGAACCGGCGCTGTCGGGACCTCCATTGGTACTGTAGATGGTCCTGCCTCATCTTCCTCGGGCGGTCGACTGGGTAAGAGAGCTTCTTGGTGGCGTCGTACCCGTGTTTTCTCGTCAACGGGCTCCTCGACTTCTGGAGGCGCAACCATAGGGTCCATGGGCTGGAAATGTTCAGGGTATTCTGCAGGGTACTCTGCCCAATCCGTCTCCTCGGGGAAGTACCCCTCCTGTGTCCCATATTCACCATGAGAATTAAGTATTGAACTCGCCTCTGGCCACTCCTCCCCGTCAACAGGGTTGAGGATAATTGCAGACGCGGGAGGCGCCGTTCGAGACTTGGTCGACTCGCCAGCCGTAGATGATGTGCGTTTTGCTTTCTGTCGTTGTGAATCACGCGTCCCGACCACGACTTCAAAGGCCACTGAGATCACACCTTTTTCACGGCGAATTGAGTCCGTGTCCAAGATATTACCGGCCCAGTTGGCAGTAACGCCGCTCGAATCGGCTGGGTTAAGGGCTTGCCCGCTGGGCGAAAATGTAGTACCACCAGAGACCATATTGAAACGCGGAAGGAAGCGATCTGGTGAAGTGATTTTGCCTCGTAGGTCCGTTACGACCTCCACATAGTACCGAAAATTGATCATGGCTCCCGGTACTCGCGTGATAGTTGGAAACGCGTCTTCGGGTATCCGGATGGAAGTCTTTATGATTGCAGTCATGGTACTTGGATCAACGATCAGCGGAGCAAATGTCTGCGATAAATCCTTGCGAAAAGTGCTGCTTGTCCGACTTGTTCCCAAGGTAAGTCCTCCAAGTCCGGTTCGTGATCGCGGATAGCAGTCTTCGTATACCGGCTTTTTCCCTGCGGCCGTAGTGCCGATGGGAATTGCAGGATGAAGATCAATGCGACCTTGACGGTAGAATGTGACCATAATTCCATGCGCACTGCGGACTTGCTTACAATGGTTGATCGTGACTGTGATGGGTAGTGTATCGCCGGGGAGCACGCCGGCGCGCAGAAGCTCAGCCTTTGCGGTGATGGTTCTGTCTGAGATAGACGGTGTCACACTGCGACCCTCGCTATTTTGTCCACTCGTGCTTGCGGATGAACTGGGATCGCTGGCGATTCGAAAGCTTTGGCTGCTTTCGCTAGGCCGGCTGGATGAGCTGACATTGCTTGGTGACGGGCTCAGCGGTGGTCTGATATCTACAGAAGGTGCTGCGCCACTAATAGGGGTATCGACCGAGGTTGTGTCCGGCCCTGCAGTTGCGTCGGAATTTGTCGACTGGGCTTTTCCCTTCGGTTTCGAGCGCTTTGAGATCGGTTCCAAGGTAACTATGCGGGGCCTGGGTGCAGGGAAGGGTGCGATGTCGATGTTCTCGAGAAGATTGATCCGTCTTCTACATGTGAGCGTAGGGTTCATGGTGGTCGGTCGGGTAAGGGTAGAGGTAAGCGAGTAGCCGATGGTTCCGCGTTCAAACTGCAGTTGCCCATTTGATTAGCATATTTGAAATAAAGGAGGTCTCATCAGCAAACGCACATTTATGCTGCTGGGAAGCGCATAAGGAGGAAGCCCCATTTCGAACCGAAACTTGTAGATGCCCTCCTTCAAGCGTCCATCGCCACAGAGAACAACCTCGTCCTCAAACAAGGTTGCCAACCCATTGCCCAAGTATTCAGCGCCTCGTCGGCCCCGCCCTGGTCCTAAGAATCCCAAGTCGGGGGTTGCCTCTCCTGCCGGAATCGCATTCTTAAACACCTTGACATAGCCGTGGAGACATATGACTATATGCGTGATGCGAACGGGTCGTACAACGGTCACAACGACGGTACCTTTGACGACATCACCGGGAAAGTAGGAGCGCCATGGATCGTCCGGATCGATATAGAAATCGGTGATGCCTCGATTTCTTTGCCCGAGCGGCGAGCGGAACTTGGACAGGAAAGAGTTGCGATTCCGACTGGCCGGCAACGTGGATTGGGTTGGATGGTTAGCGGACATGGCACACAGCCGCTGTTTACTGCATCTATACAAGAAAACGTGGCAGGAGTGAAAGGGATGGGGATGATAGACTGCAACCGATTTGGCGCCGACCGGACAGGCAGACACGGCGGTATTCTCTGGGGCAGAACGGAATGGCGGGGAATGGTCGGACAGACCAGTAGGCAGTTAGCCTACGTCAAGGAATCCAATCAAGCGGCACAATAAGTATCAATCCTTTTTGTCGGAGGGTCTGGCGTCCAGGACCAATACACTGCACACGGCCTGGTTTCCAAAGGCCCACGGAATGTATCCTTGTCCACGCGCGAGAGATTCACCGGGTCCAAAGAGAGGAATGGGGATTATTATCGAGGGCCACTACACCACATTGTTTCTCGTGACATCGAAACGCGAGGCAGGACTTCGAAGGTACCCCCGCCAGGACTCACAGCGTATCGGGACGCAAGGTCAGGTTGCAAGATAAGGGAGTGGATATTTTCGGTAAGAATGACCGGCTCGAAGGGGACCAATGGGTCAGTATGGGATATTGTGCTGTAGTCGAGGGTCTAGAACGGGGTCGGGGGTCGACCGGGGAGAGAGGGTGAAAGGCGTAACTAAAGATGGCGCGAGATCCGGAGGAATGTGGGACTCGAGAACGCACGAGCCAAAGGGGTCGGAAGGGTTTATAATAGTTAAAGAGGGGGAGAGGGGGAAGAGGGAGATATGGCAGAGAGAAGTCAGAGCAGAGAGAGAGGGAGTCGGGAGTTCGCGATAAGCCTCCGAGGCGGAGAACGACCCAGATTTCGATTCGCGTGTCGCACGGTCAAGCTTCTCTTGGTACTCAGGTGGCTCAGCTAGTTTTCCCCTTTTTCTGGGCAATTTTATGATTATCACTACGGAGTGAGACTGGACTTGTTTCATGTTTCAAGTAATTTATAATTCCTCCCCATTGCCATGTGCTAAGCAAACCTAAGCTTTTTCCCTCAAATCTTTATCCTATAGTTCACGAAGACCCTCTCCGTCCACGTACTCGTCTCCATAACATTCCCGCAAAACACCCTCGATGATTTGTCGATCTCCACCCGCTAATTTGCGCAAATACTCCTCTAGCATGTAGATATTATCTGTCCACTGCAGTGCCTGCTGTTGGAACCCCGCTAACTCCTCTTGGATCTGC